CTCTTTCCCATACTTCTTTTCATATGCCCTCTTAGAGTATAATGTATGAGGCCAAGAACATTCACTTAACAAAGGTTCATGCACAAATTATTATAGACAGGCCCTATGTTAAGTGCTGAAGAGACAAGGATAAAGAAGATAGACCCCTACCCCCAAGTGTATATGTATAAACTTCACAGTTGCTGAAGGGATATTAGGCACACACAGTTTTTTCATTTAGTGGGATGAGAATTCTAGTGAAGATTGTATGAGGTAATGGGGACCTTGAGAATGGAGTGCCAAATGATGAGGAAAGAAAGGCTTCTAAGGAGGAGGTGGTACTTTAACACAGTTATGAAGGATAAACAGGAGTCTATTGGTTGAAAAAGGGAAGGATTGTGTTCCAGAAGTATATACTCATTTCCTCCATCGGGAACACAATCTATATACATAGATATGTATATATAATATATGCGTGTGTGTATGTGTAATATATATATATACATGTATATGTGTATATGTGCATTATGTGCTTTAAGGTGGTAGTTCCTGATCTTTCCTTACACCAAAATATGTCATAAGGTTTATGGAATTACTTGGAACCATATAGAGCATCGGTGTTACTATCAGGATTCCAAGGAGGGGTTGTTGATAATTCAGAATTTTTCTCCTGCTTCAGTGCATGTCCTAGGACACTTAGTGTTTATCATAACCTTGTTTGAATTGTCACATAAAGCATTCATTTTTTAAAATTTATTTATTTATTTGATAGTGAGAGAGATCACAAGCAGGCAGAAAGGCAGGCAGAGAGAGGAGGAAGCAGGCTCCCTGCTGAGCGGAGAGCCCAATGCAGGACTCAATCCCAGGACCCTGAGACCATGACCTGAGCTGAAGGCAGAGGCTTAACCCACTGAGCCACCCAGGGGCCCCTAAAGCATTCATATTTGCAAACATGCAGGAACCAAGGCAGATTCTATGTTGCCAAGCTGCTTGTGACTTAATAGGGGAGCTAGGAAAGATGTGCACATGTGCTGTATGAAAAGTGAGTAAGGGATGTGGGAGTTTGGGGGAGGGGAGAGAATCACATGGGTCAGATTTTTTGGGGACTCAGGCATTGGTCATTTACTCAGTGCTGTCAGTCTTGTTCCCAAAGTTTCTGAGGCTTCAGAAAAACTGCTTGCGGTGCCCACACCTCAGAGCTCCTTGACTGACAAGTGCAAGTTAGCAAAATTTCTAGTGAGTCATCTGCATTAATCAAGAACATCTTGAGTGTTGTCATTGTGAGAGGATACAAAAAGAAAGATGACTGGTGCCTCCTTACAGGTACAGGGATGGGTATAATCCGAAGAAGGGAGGAGGGCCATGCTAGGCTGAGCCAGCTCCGTTTGTGCCCCTTTCGGGAAGTACCAGTGCAAGCCTGTCTCCCAAACCCACCTTTCCAGGGCTCTGGCATTAGACCCTGTCATTATTACCTCATCATTGCCAGGCAGGCCTTATTAAACTGTACTGTAGACAGACAGATGGTTTTTATTTCCCTTGTAAGCTGTTACACAACTTAACTCTGTGCTAGCGTTATTTACTCAGATTTTGCCTGTTATCATAATATTTAGCTCATCTCCATTTTGTCCTTACACTCTCCTTTCTCATCAGGCGTTCCTTTGAATTGTCCTGAATCTTCTTTGATGTGTTTACATTATAATGTTAATTCTTTTAAGCCTGTTTATGTTTCCTTCATCTCCCACAGTTTTTTTTGGCTGTAGTCACAGTACCTCAGACCCCAAATCCTTGCTTTCCCTTCTCCTGCCAGTTTCTACAGCATTTAACTCTGCCGACCACTTCACAGATCTCTCTTCTTTTGGCCTCTGACTCCTTCCCCATCTCTAGTGTGCTTTGTGGACTCAGGGAAAATCCTGAAGTAGGCCTGTGATGTGCCTCTGCACCTCTCGTCCCAGTTCTCCCACCTTTTTTCCATACCTTGTCCTACCTTTATCTTGTGTGCTGCTCACCCACCATGGGTAAGGGAGTTGACCAACCTTAGAGAGGATTCCCGGGTGCCTTTAAGAAGTATATAGTCTGGCGTGGGAGGTAGATAGATCTGTAAATAGCTAAAATAAGGTCTGAGGTATCCTAAATGTGATATTCAAGAGACAAAATTGGAGTAGTGTGAGTAGGAGAAAAGAATGAGGAACATTGCAGGAAAGTCTCACCCTCTACTAGCTAATTATGAGACTGCAGCCTTGCATGACATTGGACCCTCCCTTGTCTTGCTGGGAGCTGTGTCCCATCTGATTCACTTTGGCTAGGGTTATCTTTTGCTAACTGCTTCTGTTTTCCCTGGGAAATGCTGAGCAGACTTAGTGGGTATGTGTGTCCACCCCTATTTCTGATTCCTGCCTGACCCTTGCTGTTGTGTTCCAATTCCAGGTTTCTCTTATGATATTGGGGGCTTGTCTTGCCACTGCAGTCTTCCTGCAGTCTCCCCTCGGGATGTGGCTGGACAAGTTCAGTCCTCTTTCTCCAGGCTGCTGTGTGTATTCTCACTGGGGGCCTAGGGTAAAAGAGGAAAGTAGGGTTGGACGTGACAGAGGCGATAGGAAGGGCATTGTCAGGTTGGAATTTCTCTCGGTTGCAGCAACTAAGATATATATATATATATATATATATACACTTCCCAGACTGACCCAGTTCTGGTAGGGTTGTTTTTGCACAGTCACCAATCTCATCGGTTAGGATGGAAAAGAACCATAAAAAGACAATGGTAATAATAGACTGAGTTCTGACCTATTTCTCCTTGGATACTTTCCCAAGAGACAGAGATAGGATAATGGGGGATTTGGTTGTCAGGATGATGTTTGGTGTTTAAATACCTTGCCTGTGGTGAGTGTAAGGTCCGTAGCCCCCCTGTACTATCTGTAAGTGTTGTTAACTCCCTGCTCTTGGAAATCTAGCCTTTGGCAAAGTATGCACTCAGGGGGCTGAGTGCATATCACTGATGCAAATCACAGGAAGGTGCATCTTTCTAGATTTAGTTAAAAATCTCCTCCTTTCAGAGCGGGTCAGTCATGCTTCTACAAACTCACGTAGATCCATTTTGCTTTTTTGTGCTTTCATCAGTCAGGGTAGTAGGTCATTTCATGACTCTGAATCTCACATACTACATATCTCTTCTGGAACCAGTAAACTCTTCCAGAGAAAGCTGTAGAAATACTGGCTCTCTAAAGTGAGCTTCAGAGTGGGAGCAGTTGGTATACAGAAATGTTTATTGAATGAGGAACATTTTAGTAAATGTTTGTAAAGCCTTAGTAGCCTCTAGTAAATTTACTGACAGCTGTTACTCAGTTTGTGGACTGTATAACTGGGAGGAAAGTAATAAAACAAATTTCAGTGACATATTTACAAATAATATTAGCAATCATTTCTTATGGAATACACACTTGGTAGCAATCTCAACCTGTACTTACCTATTGGTTTATGCTTTTCACAAAGTTTCTATGTATCAAAGCCCTTGAGATGATAGAAGTGAGTACTGCTGTCATCCCATTTTACAGATGCCTGAAATAAAGGCTAAGATGCCTGTAAGATAGTCCTGGGATTAGAACTCATAACCTAGTTCAGTACTCTTTCCTTTGCAAACTGTTGAGACAGTTTTCATGAATCTGTAATAATAAGAGAAAAGTAAAGCAATGACACATTTTTTAAACCATTCTACTTTTATTCAATGTATGCCCTTTATTCTGAGATTCTTTCATTAAATACTAAGTGCCCAGCTGTGAACCAGCTAGTTCCACGGGTACTTAATACAATGTTGAACAAGGCAGACATGGAGTGTATTCTAATGGAGGAGGAGAAATAATAAGTAAACAAGCAATCACATAATAGTAAGTTCAGGTAGTAATACAAGCTTGAAGAAAAGAAAGCAGAGAAAGGCTGGTGGTGGTATTATTTTTATATGTGATATATTCCTGAAAATGAACATCAAAGTTTAATGTACGTAAAGGGAGATTCCTTCCCGAGAAACCCAAGCAATCATAAAACATTTCTTCAATGTGGTGTTTGGAGGACTCATTCATGTTAACATATATTTTTCTTTTTCTTCAAAATTGACCTAAAGTCCAAAATTGGCTTAAGTCCAAAAGTGTCTGGTTGAGGCTAAAGATCTGCTGCTTCAGGAACCTCTGATGACTGATTACCAGACCTTTCATGATATTGAGGCTATGAGAGCCAACTTATTGTTGGTCCAATATACCATTTTCACTCATCTTTATTTAACAATGAAGACAAACTACTAGACAACAATGCTTTCTTAATTTTTTTCCTTTTAATTAACAACAGAGCTTTCTTCAGAGAAAATTCCAGATGCCCCGTCTATAAAGCTACTGTGGCTCCAAGCTACAAGCTTACTCTCCTCTTTTCCACACCTTAATGGCCTCTGAGGAATTCACAAAATCTTTGCAGAACACAGGATGAAAACCACAATCAAAGATTCAAATTGTAAATCCTATTATAAAAAGATAGCTGTATTGTTGAAGCTGGCAGAGCCACCATATCAAGCTTCATAATCATGTTTTGAGATTTTTGGAGGTCCATATTCAATGGAAAAAATAGATTTATATGTATAATTTTACCTAAAATTACATCTCCAGGTGGCTTTACTATATAAAGCAAATTCAAACTTTAATTGTAGCTGTTTGTTCAGAGCATACTTTTCCCTCCAATTTTATTGAGATATAATTGACATATGACACTATGTATGTTTAATGTCTACAATAGAATGATTTGATTTACATGTATTGTGACATTATTACCACAATACAGAGCATGCTTTTTATATAATGTGGGCATGATGGTACTTCTGGGACTGAAGTACTTTTGTGCAACTACGAATTTAAAAAGTAAATTTCATATTGGCCAAGATTTATTCTTTTATAAATTGTTTCATCATATATAAATCATGATGTGTTTACATATTATTGTAAATGAATTGATTTGCTAGTTTAATTTTTTGTTTATTTGTCTTCTAGTTTGCCAGAGTTTGGATACCTGATCCTGAGGAAGTTTGGAAGTCAGCAGAGCTGCTCAAAGATTATAAACCAGGAGATAAAGTCCTCCTGCTTCACCTTGAGGAAGGAAAGGTAAAAATTTTGCTTTTATTTGTTGTTATTGGCATAAAATGAAGTGAATTCAAAAGTGTGAGTTTGCTGTGACATATCTAACTTCATTTGGAAGTTAAAATTTTGAATTAATCTAATATTTTCACTTACTAAATTTAAAAAAATAACAAAAGAGCAAACTCAGTTTTCTATCCCAATGGGTTAATGAAAATGTCAGAACTTTAAAAATCCGGTATTTTGGGCTATGAATTTGTTATGATTAGGTTTAGATTCATTTCTAATCCTCCCAAAGATGTGCCTGTTTACTTTGCTTAGGCTAGCATTGACTTCATGATAACTAAGAGAACATTGCTTAAAGAGCCAGTCTGAGATTTGATATTTACTGGACCTAATCATTTGAAAAATGTTTACTGACAAAGTATTACATATAAAGCAGTTTGTTAGCAATCAGAAAAACATAAAACCAATTGCTTCCCTATACTTTCCTGTCTGCATTCATTGCATGGATAGACACGTCCTAGTTCTACCTATTTGACCTCTCCATGGCATTTGACAAGGCTTGTCACTCTGTTTTTTTTAAACACCTCTGTGACACTAGTTTTCCTTATATAACTTATAGTCTAGCCAGGGAAACTAGAGACAAATACATGAAAAGCTACATAAAGCATAGAATCTAAAGAGTAGTTCAACACCATGATTTAAAGATATCAAAAGGTTATGACGAACTATTACCAAATGAGTAGTGCTACCTGGGAGTTAGCATGTATTGAACACTTACTTTGTGCCAGACATAGTTCTAAGTGTTTTACTTGCTGTAACTCATTTAATCCTCACAACAATTGTATGAAGTGGGGCTGTTGTTATTACCACTTTATGGATAAAGAAACTAGAGCTCAGAGGGATTGTTCAAGATTATACAGGTATTAAAGGATGAAGCTTGGATTTTAAGCCAGAAAATTTGTCTTCATGATTTGTGATCACAACCACTCGCTATGTTGTAAAGATAGTAACGACTTTAGGATGCCTAAGAGGGAAATTTCATTATGGGCTGCTTTGTCAGGGAAGGAGTCGAGGAGGAAGAAGAATTTTAACTAACCTTAAAGGTAGGATAAAATTTGGATTGACAAGGAGAAAGGGTTAGACCCTTTGAGTAGCAGAACATATTTTGGTGTTAGTGAATATAACAAGTTGATTGGAACAGAGATTTAGAAAGATGTATGTTCTAGTTCTAGGCTCACATATTAAAGTTTCTGCTATACAGCATGTTAAGAAGTGGCAAAAGGTGCTCTCTGACATCAGTGTTAGGTAAGGGAAATAGATATATTTATGAATAGTGTGACATGATATAACAAGTAAAAGCCAGGAACAGAAGTAGAACAGAGTGAGGAGTGGACAGACGGGCTGGTGAAGGTAATGGATTGGGAGGCATGGTGTGAAGAACAAATAGCTGAGGGGAAGTGCATTTCAGGAATCCAGAAAAGCCCATGCAAAGGCAGGGAGGTGTGCAAAATAATGTGCATTTGAGGAACTAAACAATTCCATGTTGTTAGAATGCGAAGTAAGAGTACAGGACTGGCAAGGGGATGGGGGCTGGGACCACATCACAGATGGCCTGGTTATCATCCTAAAACTCTAGGACATCAAGTGATGTGTGATGGGGAGTGATTGTATTATTTTTAAACAGAGAAAGGATGCTGGGTTTGTGTTTTAAAGATTTTTTTTTTTTAATTTACTTGACACAGAGGGAGAGAGATTACAAGTAGACAGAGAGGCAGGCAGAGAGAGAGGGGGAAGCAGGCTCCCTGCTGAGCAGAGAGCCCGACGCAGTGCTTGATCCCAGGACCCTGAGATCATGACCCGAGCTGAAGGCAGAGGCTTAACCCACTGAGCCACCCAGGTGCCCCTGGGTTTGTGTTTTAGAAAAGACTCATTGGTGGCCATACAGAGGATGAATTTCAAGAGAGCAAAACAGAGGCAAGTTTAGTTGGAAAGAAGTCAGGGAAGAATTAGGCCATATTAGAGGAGGGCCTTGAATGCCAAATTTAAAGAATTCAACTACTCTGTATTAGGCACAACATTAGGCACTGTGAGCTATATTTTCTTAGGTTAATTCTCACAACAACCCTGTAGATTGGTAGGTAATATAACTATTTTCCAAATAAGGAAGCCAATGCCCAGAGACATTAAGTAGTTCTGCCTGAGATTGCATAGACAGAAGTGGCTTTTATGTAATACAGGGATCAATGCAAGGACATTACACCCATAACAAACAGACAGGGAGAGTTCAAAGGGCAGATGGTAAATTCTTCTCCATTTAGCATAGTTCATTCCAATCTATTTTGAATATATGACATCCGTTTATCTCTGCAATGTTAAGAAAAGTGGCTTTTTACAAAACCGGCTAGTCCTTCTCTACAGTTACGTTTCATTTTTTTTGCCTTTTTACTTGTAATATGTTATTTGTCCTTAATGCCTCTTTGAGTGATAATTTGCATGCTTGGCTTTGCCATAAAGCCATATTTCCTTGGTTTTAAAGTGAGTAGTACTTCTTAAATTTGTAGGCCAATCAACCTCATTAAAGAAAATCAAATGAAAACTAAGGACTGTCTTTCCAAAATATAATACACATATGTGTATATATTTACACATATGGACATATACACATTTACACTTAATTTCAGGGGATTCTTGGACCTCTCAGCATTCAGGGGTTCCCAGGTATTTCTACATGCCATGCATTGCCTCATTTAATTTTTTTTTAAGATTTTTAATTTATTTATGACAGAGAGAGATAGCAGAGAGAGGAAACACAAGCATGGGGAACCTGGAGAAGGAGAAGCAGGATCCCCACTGAGCAGGGAGCCTGATATGGGACTCTGATCCCAGGACACTGGGATCATGACCTGAGCTGAAGGCGGATGCTTAATGACTGAGCCTCCCAGGCACCCTGCCTCGTTTAATTTTTATCACACCGCTGCAAGCTACTTTTATTATGCCCTTTCTACCAATGAAGGATTCACATTGAATAACTTATCCAAGACCACAAAAGAAGTACCAGTTTCAGGATTTCAACCCGGGTTGATCTGGCTCTAGAGTCAAGCTCTTAACCATTCTTTATTGCTCATTCGCTTATCACAGGTGAAGGGAGAGAGAGAGAAATGTTATTTAAAGATTAAAAAATTCTGGTTTAGGGGTGTCTGGGTGGCTTAGTCGGTTAAGCATCCTACTCTTGATCTCAACTTGGATCTTGATCTCAGGGTCATGAGTTCAATCCCAGCGTGGAGCCTACTTTAAAAAAAAAAAAATTAAAAACCAAAACTTCTGGTTCAGTAATTGGGTTAAAAAAGTCTAAACTTAGTTGTGAAACCAATGATACATTATATGCTAATTAATTGAATTTAAATTTAAAAAATGGAAAAAATGAAAAAAATTTTTAAAAAAGTCTAAACTTCTCAAACTGTATTAGCAAAAATTCTTAATATTTGTATTAATTTTTTAATACATCTAGTGAAAAAGAAGACTTCCATTTCCACCAGTTTCTGTGGCTTTGGAAGGTGTCAGGAAAAAATGCATTTAATAGCTGAGAAGCATATCAGGAATAGGAAATAAGCAAAATGTATGGGCCTGTTTTACTTTTATTGCTATGATTTATCCAGATTCTATATCTTGTATACTTTCAGGATTTGGAATATTGTCTAGATCCAAAGACCAAGGAACTGCCTCACTTGAGAAACCCTGACATACTTGTGGGTGAAAATGACCTCACAGCCCTCAGCTATCTTCATGAGCCTGCTGTGCTCCACAATCTCAGAGTCCGCTTTATTGACTCCAAACTTATTTATACATATTGTGGTAAGTGTGCCTTGCTTTCTGAGTGGACCGTGAACTCCTTCCTCTGATAGACATAGCCACGGAATTACTGTGCGTGGGGAAAGAAGGCTGCAGTTGGGTTTCCTCCTAGAGAGAGAATCACTAAAGAGTTATCAAACAAGATTTACCATGTTCATTAGCTAGTTGCATTTTGTGCTGAATAAGCTCTTTTGTGAACTTATATAATTTTGCTCAGGAAAAAAAAAAAAGAACCGAACTGGGTCCATCTTTTAGATTTTCTTCCTCCCAAAGAAGTCATTTGACAAATTCAGTGACTGGTTTGCCAGTGACTTTCATCTTGTACAAGGACTGCTACTCAAGAAGAGTAGATGTTCAAAGTGCGGGTTCAAGAAGTTCAGTGTTCTCTTGTTCTCAGTGCAGGACTGAGGACTCAAGGTAACTGTTCTTGCCTGATGTGCTGGCCTGGGCCCATGCTTGTTACAGTATTAGCTGCCAGTGACTCAGCTCAGGATTCTTTTTCTTTCTCTTAGATATAAAGCACCAGGTACTTTGGGATTTTTTTCCACTTTTCCTTCTTTTGTCTCTCTTTCTCTCTCTCTCTATTTTTTTTTTCTTAATCTTATTTTCTACCTTGTCCCTGGCTCTTTTCTCTACTGACTTCTTATCTTTCTTTCCCTGATAACTCTCTTCTGGGCTCTGGTCTGGGATTTCATTCATTTTCTTCTAAGTCTGTTTGCTTGGGTGACCAATTCAGTGCTCATCATTTCTTCCTTACTCCCCTGCTTGGACAGAGACAGCTATCTTCTCTTCATAAAGGAATTTATACCTCTTGCGTCCTTCATACTAACTCTTTTTCTTCCTTATCTATGAACCAAATACTTCTGTTTCTCAATTTTCATTTTTCCATTTATCTTTTTCTTGCATGTATGTTACCTCCTTGGTGAAGCCTCCCGTGCTTGTCTTATCTAAATCATAACCCCCTACTCCACTCTTTAGTTTCCATCTTCTTTCTCTGTTTAATTTTTCTCCTTTTTCCTTTCTACTATCTAACCTGTGATATTTATTTTTTCTTATCTTGTTAATTATCTCAATTTCCCACTAGAATATAAGGTCTATGAGAATAAAGCTTTGTCTTTTTTTGTTTACTGTTATAAACCTAGCACTCAGAAAAGACTTGAGACATACTTGGAGCTGAATAAATATTTGTTGATTGAAGGACTTGATTAAGTCAGTATACACCAACTATAAACTTTAAAGTCATACAAAAAAGTATAAAAAAGGAAAATAATTACATATAATTCACTATTGAAAAATAACCAGTATTATGTTGATATATCCTATATGTGTGTATATGTGAGAAAGTATAAATAGATATGAAATTGGAATTAATCTGTATATAGTTTTGTGTCATCTTTTGCTATGACATTTAATATTCTTTAATAAAAATGTAATTTGTGGTGGTAGCATAATAGTCTGTCATATGAATATAACAAAATGTTTGGCTACTCTTCCTTTGTTATATATTTTGTTTGTTTCTACTTTTCACTCTTGTGAATGATACTATGATAAACATCTTTATGAAAAAAAAACTTTTGCTTGAATGTCTGATTATTTCATTTGGATAAATTTCTAGTAGTAAATTTTTTATTTTATTTTATTTTATTGAATATTTTCAGTATTTATTGAATATTTTATATTTTATTGAATATTGAATATTTTCAATTATTGAATTGAATATTGAATATTTTATTGAAATATGAAAATATTTAAAGTTCTTTTAACATTACCATAGTTTTTATTTTTAACAGCTTAATGTTTTATTTTATTTATTTATTTATTTTAAAGATTTTATTTATTTATTTGACAGACAGAGATCACAAGCAGGCAGAGAGGCAGGCAGAGAGAGAGAGAGAGAGAGAGAGAGAGGAGGAAGCAGGCTTCCTGCCGAGCAGAGAGCCCGATGCGGAACTCGATCCCAGGACCCCGAGATCATGACCTGAGCTGAAGGCAGAGGCTTAACCCACTGAGCCACCCAGGCGTCCTAGCTTAATGTTTTAAAATAGAGTTTTAGTTAGGTCTAGGTATAACAGGCTCAGAGCAAAGGCTATGGTATATTTTGATCTTTAACAATTTGTTAGTTCAAGATTAACTGAAATTGAAATTTGTGTTGACTGTGATTCTCACTTAACCAAGTTTATATGTCCATTAGTATATCATTAACTTCTTTTGCTTTTTTACCCCTCCCCCAGGTATAGTCCTAGTAGCTATAAATCCTTATGAACAGCTGCCTATTTATGGAGAAGATATTATTAATGCATATAGTGGTCAGAATATGGGTGACATGGATCCACATATCTTTGCAGTAGCTGAAGAAGCTTACAAGCAAATGGCCAGGTTGGTGAAAGCTCTATTTATTTTTTTCATGATTCTTACTAGATATGATTGTTTCTTCTCTGCCAAGTCATAGATATTTTAAAATATAGTGAAGAGCAGCTGGTAAATTATTATTAAATAAGCAGCCTTGACTATTTCAAATGGTCTACATTATTATTATTATTAAAAAACCTTGTATTTATAAAATTTATAAAATACAAGGAGGTTTTATTTATTTATAAAACCTACTGCGGAGGTTTTATTTTCTCCTTCCCAAGCAAGGAGGGTGTTTGTTTGACATAATTGGGCCAGGACATAACAGAATTTTAGAATTATTTCCCTGCCAGAGTCCATAGAAGTCATTAAGCCCTTTTATTAATAAAATATTATTCTTCTAATAATCACTAAGACTTATTAAGTACTCTCTCTGTGCAAGGCATTGTTTAATTGCCTTCCATTTTGTTAAGTAATTTTATCCTCCTAATAACCTTTTGAGGTTGGAGTTATTATTAATCTTCATTTTACAACTGAGAAAACTTAAGCACTTGAGAAGTTATTTAACTTTCCTAAGTTAAGGAAAGCTAGGAAGACTAGCTTTCAAATTCCATTGGTCTAACACTATGAAATATTATCATATTAAATATAAAATGACTAAGTATAGTTTTGTACTATAATATGCTTATTATAGCAGATCCTGTTATAAAATGGAAATGAGTGTCAAAAGTGTAAGAAAGGTTACTTTTTTTTAAAGGATTTATTTATTTCAGAGAGAGAGTTGGGTGCATGCGAGTGGTGGGAAGGGGCAGAGGGAGAGAATCTTGAAGCAGACCCTCTGCTGAGCATGGAGCTCTGTGGGGGGATCTCAGTCCTACAACCCACAAGATCATGTCCTGAGCCAAACTGAGAGTTGGCCACTCAACTGGCTGAGCCTCTCAGGTGCCCCAGAAATGTTATTTTTTTTTAAGCTTTTAAATTCCATCTATCAGCACAATTTTTTTCCCTAAAATGAGAAAAGCCCACCAATATTTGACGTGTATGGCACTGGAGCATTCGATAAAATGCTAGCACCACACAAGTACAGCCAGAGAACTACTGGGCCGAGAGGGAATTGCAGGGAGTGCCAGGACCTAAAAACTGTCTCCAAAAAGTGTTATACTGCTCCTAGAGAATGATATGACTTCTTTAAAAAACTAATTTTAAATATGAAAGTTTGGTTCTTAGCATTTTTGTGAGAGAAACCCAAGAATAGTGTTAGATTTATGTGAGTATTTCTGGCTTTTAAATGCTGGATTTACTCTGGTTTCGTACTCCCCCCCCGCCCCCCCAATTATTCCCCTGTGACTCAGCCAGTCAATGCGATTACTGCAGGTTTGCTTGCTGCTTTCCCCTTTGCTGAGTTCTGTTTCTGAGCCAGTTTTAAAATATGCTTCAGTCGTTCCCAAGTCTTCCTAAGTCCACCATGTATATGAGTAAATCTGTGCACATAAGATGTGCTGCAGCTGCTAAACAGACCATGTCTCTTAGGCATACAGTGGGAGCTAGATATTGCAGGATCCTTCCTTATCATCTTTTCCTTACTGAGTGGAGATGTGCCATATTCACCACATGTGAGACCTGGTACCCTTAGAGGCCCCTACAACTTCAGGGAAGGTAATGGCTACTTGTTCAGTAGACCTTTACTGAACACCACCAACACACTGTAACAGGCATGGGACAGAGCAGCAGACAAGTGAGACAAATAGACAAAAATTCTTACTCTCCTGAAGTGAGGCATGATAAACAATAAAAGTAAATAAGATACACAGTTTGTCACATATTAATAAGTGTTTTTCTGGAAAATAAAGTCAGAGAAGTAGATAATGTTAGGTGAGCCAAAGGGCATATCTGCTAGGCTCAGGGAAAGCCTCCATGTAAAGCTGTCTCTCCCCCCACCTTTTTTCTTTCAAACATAAAAAAAAAATCTTGAGCTTAAGTGTGGAAAAACAGTACACAGAGGTACCATATACCCTACATCCAGCTGTAGTAAGTAATTGAAACAAGGAAATTCACATTGATATAATACTATTAAGTAGTCTAAAAATCTTGATCACATTCATTTCCCCTCTGATGTCCTTTTTCTGGTCTAGGATCCAATCTAGAATCATACATTGCACCTAGTTCTGTCTCCTTAGGCTCCTCCTATCTAGAGCCATCTGTTAGTCCTCTTTCCTTTCATGGCTTTGACACCTTGGAAGAGTGCTAGCCAGCTATCTTGTAGACCCTGAGGACACAGCAATAGAAGAATTAGGCAAAACAGACTGCAAAAATCCTTCCCCTTCTGAAAGTTTAAGGTTTTCTCTGGGTTAGATCGAGGCTACCATGCATTTGGGGCAAGAAGCTCACAGAAGTGAGGTTCATCATATAGAAGAGACAGTTACTGGGAATGTTAAGTTCGATTGCTTGGTTATGGCGGTATCTACCAGATTTCTCTACTATAATTACTTATTTTAAACTTTGAAATTAGTAAGTGTATTATAGGAAAATACTTTGAGACTGTGCAAATATCCTGTTTCTCATTATACTTTCACTTTACTAATTTTAACAGCCATTGACATTGCTAGGTCAAAATCTAGGTGTAAATGTAGTTTTGTAGGTATTGCCTACAAAATTCCCTCTAGAAGATTTGTACTGGTTTGTATTTCTGCCAAAAATGTTCAAGAGTCCCTGCTTCCCTATAGCCTCATCAACAAAAAATGTGTAGTCTTTCTTTTTAGTTCTTCACTATCCAGTGTTATCTCAATGTTGTTTTCATTTGTATTTCTTTAAATATGAGTGAGTTTACATCTTTACATGTGTTTAAGAGACTTTTTATTGATGTATTTGTTTCTTTATGTGGTAAACTGTCCATTCATGTCTGTTTCAATTTTTCTATTGTGTTTTTAGTCCTTTGATCTTCAATTTTAAGAATTTTAAAAAATATGTTAGAGATATTAGCCCTTTGCCTATGGTATGTATTGCAAATACTCCCCATCCTACTTACAAGTTTTCTTGTGATTTTGTTTATGCTGTATTTTTTTCTATGCAAAATAATCAGTCTTTTTTTTATTACTCTGTATTTTGAGTCATTGTTAAAAGCCTTTACCTATACCAGGATAAAAGAGAAATTCATTCATGTTTTCTTTCTTTCTTTCTTTCTTTCTTTCTTTCTTTCTTTTTTTTAAAGATTTTATTTATTTATTTGACAGCGAGTGACACAGCAAGAGAGGGAACACAAGCAGGGGGAGCGGGAGAGGGAGAAGCAGGCTTCCCATTGAGCAGGGAGCCTTATGTGGGACTCAATCCCAGGATTCTGGGATCATGACCTGAGCTGAAGGCAGATGCTTAATGACTAAACCATCTAGGTGCCCCTCATCCATGTTTTCTCCTACTCTTTGTGTTGTTTTATAATGTACCTTTAGATCCCTGATTCAATTGAAGTTTATTCTTTTTTTTTTTAATTTTTTAAAGATTTTATTTATTTATTTGACAGACAGAGATCACAAATAGGCAGAGAAGCAGACAGAGAGAGAGGAGGAAGCAGGCTCCCCGCTGAGCAGAGAGCCCGATGTGGGGCTCAATCCCAGGACCCTGGAATCATGACCTGAGCCGAAGGCAGAGGCTTTAATCCTCTGAGCCACCCAGGCACCCCTGAAGTTTATTCTTTTGTATGATATGAGATATGGATCTAAATTTATCTTTTTTCCAAATGGCTATCTGGTTATCCAGCATCACTTATTAAGAAACCCATTTTGCTCCAGTTCTTTCAGATGCCATTTAGCATATCCTAGGTTTTTTCATGTTTTGTGCCTCTGTAGTATTTTTTTTTTTTTTAAAGTAGGTTCCAAGCCCAGCGTGGGGCTTGAACTCATGACCCTGAGATCAAGACCTGAGCTGAGATCAAGAGTCAGACACTTAATCAACTGAGCCACCCATGCACCCCTTCATAATATTTTTTAATGTTTGGTATCATTAAACCCTCTCATAGTTTGTGCTTTTCATTATTTTCCTGGCTATCCTTAGATGTTTTTTTTTCTGTATATACTTTGGTATCAACTTATCTACTTCCATAAAAAATAAAACTGTATTTTGAATAATTACATGAAGGAAAGGATAGGGTGCACCATTCACATATCTGAGGAAGAATATTCCAGGCAGAGAGATCATCAACTGCAAGGACCCTACAAGGCCATGTGGGGTATTGTAGCAAATTTGACTTCTTCTCTGGGTGTGAGTTTTTTTTTTTTTTTAAAGATTTTATTTATTTATTTATTAGACAGAGATCACAATCAGGCAAAGAGGCAGGCAGAGAGAGATAGAGGAGGAAGCAGGCTCCCAGCTGAGCAGAGAGCCTGATGTGGGGCTCGATCCCAGGACCCTGGGATCATGACCTGAGCCGAAGGCAGAGGCTTTAACCCACTGAGCCACCCAGGTGCCCTGGGTGTGAGTTTTGAGCAGAGGAATGGCTTGATCTTGCAGCTATGATAAAAATTGACCATAGATTGCTGCCAAAAATGCATGTCCTGAATCTAATTGGGAGGAAACACCAGAAAAACTGAAAATGAGGGCATTCTCCAAAATAAATGTATATGCTCTTCAAAATTATGAAGATCAAAAAAGTCAAAGAAAGGCTGAGGAACTGTTTAGGATTAAAGGAGATGAGCATTATATGCTAGTTAAGTGCAATGAATATTCTGAATTGAATCCTTGGTGATTGGGGAGGAAAGGTATGTAGGGAACAACATTGCTGGATGGTTGATAAAATTAGAGTATAGACCGTAGACTAAATACTACTAACTATATCAGTACTACATTTCATGATTTTGATTATTGTGAATAGGTAAAAGCCTGTCACTGTTCTGAGGAAGTATATTACTCTAAATTATATAGGAGGCATCATGTCTGTAACCCACTCTTAAATATTTCAGAAAATATAAAAATAAAAGAAACAGAGAAGTTAATAAAACAAACAAGGAAAACCTAAACAATTGGTGAATTTGAGTAAA